AGTATTTTTTCTTAAATCAAGAATTTTGTCGCTGAAAATAAACTACATTTTTGCTTAACTGAAGCATTATTTTTCTTGTATCAAGAAAAATTCAGCTCAAATCAAGATAAAAATAATTCTTGGCGGGAAATTCAAGAATCAAGCTTCTGCCAAACACCTCTTTTTAAGTGCATTTTAAATCACAGGTTTGGAGACTTTAACGCATGGAGAGAAAAGTAAATCGTTTTAACATTGAATCACATTGAAAGCTTGGTAAAAGAAGGAGCTTTTGAAGGAACGACTACACGGTCTTAGGTTATCAGATTTTAGCTCTGAAGGGGTCATGGTTGCCTAAATTCAAGGGGCCGGGAATGCAATTTGGGAGCCGCGCGGCGGTAAGTGGGAACGACGGCGGTAAAAAGCTGCTAATGCACGGTAATTATTGCCGGAGCTGAGTTTGTGTTGGTGCGTCTGATTAGCAGCCGAGGGTCGGGAGTAGCGTCTCAATGAAAACAGTATGCGGTGCGCCTCATGAAAAGGAAACTGATGGCTGCCGGGGAACAGGTGTCTCCCCCCGGGGGGCGGGGCGGGGGGGAGGTGAGATAGGTCACTAGGTGCACGGCTCAGGCGCCCAGCGCGCCGAACGTGTGGTGTTCAACAGCGCCGCCCGAGGATTCACCCCGTGTTGCCGGCTTCAACTCCCTTCACCTCGATTGTCTTTCCGATGGACTGCGGAGCTTACGAGTAATAGGGGCTATGGATTGGATCGACATGAATCGATTGAAAAATAAAAACGGGAACCAATCGACGCGATACACGGAGAAAAAAACTTCGTGCGTGGGACCCGAAGTTTAGGTCATATGGATCTCTGAAGTTTTCGGATTGAGCATCTGAACACTTTAGGTCTAGCTGTCGAGGTTCGGATCACACATCTGAAACTTCAGTCCTTACATCTGAAGTACTTCAAATGTGAGAATCGAAGTTTTTCGGATGTGAAAACCGAAGTACTTCAGATGTAAGAGCTGAAGTTTCAGATGTGTGATCCAAACCAGCAGCTGGACCTAAAGTGTTTAGATGCTCAATCCGAAAGCTTCAGAGATCCATATGACCTAAACTTCGGGTCCCACGCACGAAGTTTTTTTTCTCCGTGTACGATCGACAAACCCTTGAATCGACTGACTACCGTGAATGGATCGGAAAATTCCTGAGTCAGTAACAAACTACGTTAATCGATTGACCATTTCAGGAGACGATCTGCAAACCCGTGGGGCAATTGACAAACCCATGAATCGATAGACAAACCTGTGAAACGATCGACAAACCCTCTGAGTCAATCGACAAAACCCGTGAGTTGATCGCAAAACCCACGGATATATCGACAGATGCGGGTTCGATCGACAAACCCGTGAATCGATTGACAACCATGAATCGATCGACGAATCCTGCGACCCGATCGCCTAACCCCATAAGTCGACCAAATGTCCTCCGTGAAATCGATTCAACATCCCGTGAGACGATCGACAAAACCCGTGAGTCAATCGACAAACCACGGGAGTTGATCGACGCAACCTTGTGAATCGATACAAACCAGTGGGTCGATTGACAACCATGAATTGATCGGCAAAAATGCGAAATTTGTATTAAATTTATCCATTATACATTTACTGAGTTACTGGCAACTTGAACTTCCAAATTAATTGAAATTCGAAGCAACGAGTGGTGCTCCCTCACTGGTGGGTGTCGGGCTATCGGATTTCTATCTTGATGATAAATTTCCGTGTTCATTTAAAACTACAAACTAGCTACATATTCGACTGCCTTCAGCTGAAATAGAAGTTCTAACGGTCACCAACGGCCGAAACGGGGTCCTTCAGAACGAGTTTGTCAGTCGCATCGCTCATTTACATAAAATGATGAAAGCCAGAATGTTGAAAAAAGTAAAATTTAGATTGCCTCTCAGTTGGAATGACTGTTATGCCTTTTGTCCTTACTCAGGGTCATTCATAGCCGTTCTTTAGACCTTTCTTTACTCGGAAAGCCATCTCACGGTTTCCACTGTGACTGCGAGGGAAGTTTAAGGAAGTCTTTAATGTGGTATCATTAAAAGGACAGTTTTTGCGAACCTTGAGTGAAATTCTGATGTGTAACTTTGGCAATCAATCCTTATAATGCATTATAAAGAATCTCCGCGAATACAATGTGGGCTTTGCAATTTTTAGGAAAGTTCCGACAAACTTCAACCTAAATTAAACTTTGTCAAAATCAATGCATATTTATTTTGAATATTCTTGCTTTTTTCAATGGCGAATTATTATTGTCCATTGCAAGTATCCATTTCTGAAGTCTTCCTCCTAAATTTTTCTCAGGGTTTGTAGAAAATTTCCGTTTTGTGATGATTTTTGAAAGGCTTCCTTGAATCATTCTCAATCAGAATTTCAGCTCTTTACATAAAATTACTCATTTTCGCTCAACATTGCTCGCATTTTCGGCAGAATGCTCATTTATGAACTTTTGCTGCCATCTTGATTTGATATTGGTCTCTGAGGATTGGCAGTGAGCAGTGCCACAAGATCGGACGTTATACAATTTTGAGGTAATGAACAGTCACATTTAGGACTCGAGACAAAGTCATAAGAACGCATTTTTGGACTAGAGTATCTATAGGGAGAGCACGGACCTGTCGGTAATTTTGAAGTTAGGTCATGGAGCTTCTAGGTTCCGGGAGGATAGCCAACCTATGAAATCGAACTATCCAGAGTGATTTTTTATTACAATTCAAAGCACGTATTTGACTTCATTTTTGCCTTAATTCACTCATTTTTCAAGAAAAACGCTCATTAATGAAAATTCTTGGTGATCTTGGTTTGATATTAGAATTCAAAGATTGGCAGAGACATTTTTTGTGTTGAGGGGTTGGGTGCCCTTTCGAGCCCTGAGACACAGTAGAAACACCCACTGCACTGGAAAAAAACACATTGGATCTAGAGTCCAGACTGTTAAAAACATCGACAAGAAAAAAATACTCTTCATTCAATCAGATTTTTGCTTAAATCAAGAACCAAGCCTCTTAATTTGAGCGGATTTCCTTTTGATCCAAGCGAAAATCTGATTGAATCAAGAGTATTTTTCTTGTCAATGTTTTCAAGAGTCTGGACTCTAGATCCAATGTGGTTTTTTTCCAGTGTGCCTGAAAATCGCCAGCATTACAACACACCGATCTCAGACAAGGCAGAAAAGAAGCGTTGATGAAAATGAATCTCTTAAAAAGCGGTCAGTTTAACGACAATCATAGCCGGTGCGTTCCTTAGCGGGAACATTGCTATCTGAGTCCTCGATCGCTAATTTTCCCGGAACGTTCCCATGCGCAACGAAAACTGCTCGATGAGCACCAACTACCGAAATTTTCCGGACTCTGCCCACGGAGGATAGCTGGCCACTGAAAACAGGGGGATATATGTGCTCTCATTCTGAGATGTCCAGTGTACTTCCTCTTAGTTATTGTACCTCGCGTTCACTGCAAGAACCACCACAAAGATTTTTGAACTCCCTGGATTTAGGAAGTTACTTACTCCGCCAAGCTAAGGAAAAATGCCGTATAAACATTCGAAAGTTGCCAAATTACCTTCGATAAAGTGTTGTGACCCGCTGTACCAATATACCCTTGTTTCAAAATGTCACTCAGTGATTTTGATTTGCGCTTTGAACGATAGTTCAAAGCGCAACTACTACTACTGCGATCCCATTTCGATCCATGCTAATTCTCGCTTCATTTTTGACGAGGTAGTAAATTTTTAACTCAAACATTTGGTCATTTAACCCAAAGAATAACTAACCAAAAAATACTAACCACATGTTTGAAGAATACTCCGTGTTCTACATCCCGCATTAACACCAAATATCGGTTACTATTTCTTACTTTGTAGGCGAGATTTTGCAATTTAGGTTCTACAATTGCTGAACCGATTGTTCAGCTCTTCGGTCTTGAGTCTTCATCAGGCGAATCTAAAAGCGTCGGTATAACTTCCCGGAAATAACGTTTACATCGTAGAGGAGATAGCAGTATGGGGCGTTTAAGGTAGTATCGTCACCTTTCGGCCAAAGTATCACAAGCGCCACGCGACATTTCAAAATTTCCGCCGCCATTTTATTTTTTTAGAGAAAAATTGTTCAACGATGCTGTCCGAAAATTTCACTGAATTTTCTTTGCGCCGCAATAAAATTCATTTCGATGCCCCTCTGATTTTGTAAACATGGATTACTCTACGTATTTGCAAGTAAATGATATTTAACAAATAAACAAATAAAATCCAATTAAAATTTTCAAATAGATGCAACCAAAAATTCCTCTGTAAAAAATAAAATGGCGGCGGAAATTTTGAAACGCCGCGCATGGCGCTTGTGATATTTCGGCCGGAGGCTGACGATATTACCTCCGAGTGAAAAGCCTCGCTTCCGGGCGCTGGACCCGGCGTCGTTTTCCCCGGTTTTCTGGCCCGGGGGCAGGGGTTGGGTCGTAAGTAATACACACATGATATTTAAAAAATAAAAAAAATAAAATCCATTGAAATTTTCAAAAAGATGCAATCAACAATTTCTCTGTAAAAAATAAAATGGCGGCGAAAAGTTTGAAACGCCGCGTTTGGCGCTTGTGATACTTTGGCCGGGGGTTACCTCTGAATGAAAAGCCTTGCCCCCGGGCGCTGGACCCGGCATCCTTTTCCCCGGTTTTCTGGCCCGGGGGCAGGGGTTGGGTCGTAAGTAATACACACATACGAATGGTATAGATGTCGACACGTATGTCTCGAGGCAGTCCGGTACTGGATAGCCTATTTTCCAGTTCTAACTGTAACCTAGTGTGTCTGGGTCACTTTACCGCCTGTGGACGGAAGGGGCATCAGCGGCAGGACCAGTATGGGGGGCTCCGGGCCGGCGGGCCGGGGGGGTCCGGGGGGGTCCGGGGGGGCGGGAGTTGTAGCTCCGGCACAGCGATTCCGACTCACTCTTCGCCCGCCTCAGTCAATGGATGGATTAATTCCTTTATTCTTCTTCTTTTTCACGGATCCCTCGAAAATTTCGTGGCCGGCGTCAGTGCGCTTCCAGTGTCGTGAGTGACAACCGCCCCGGCGTCGCCGTCGTCCGCTCCGGAGTTCAGTTTTCGCAACTTGATTCGTTTCAGTGCCGAGTTCAGTGCTCTCCCCGGTTTTAACTATCAACACTTGACGTTTTTGAGTTTGACGTTCAGCGCTGTTTGTTTGAGTGACTTGTTTCCGCGGAGTTCCTCGCGATTTGGTTGTTTTTCTGTTTGAGGAGTAACCGAAATTTCCAGGTAGGTCGACCGGAGCAGCCTTAATTTATTAGTTTAAGTGCACTTTATATTCACCGGAAAAAAAAAATAAAACACATTGGACCTAGAGTCCAGACTCTTAAAAACATTGACAGTAAAAAGTACTCGTGATTCAATCGGAATGTAGCTTAAATTAAGAACCAGGCCCCTTAATTTAAGCGGATTTCGTTTTGATTCAAGCAAAAATCCGATTGAAGCACGAGTATTTTTTCTTGTCAATGTTTTCAAGAGTCTGGACTCTAGATCCCATGTGTTTTTTTCCAAGTTTGTATTTTTCTTTGAAATTTTTGGATACTTTAGACTGAATTACGAGTGAAATTTTGTGTAAAATTGGTAAAAGAATATTCACAAGATTTCTACTACACTCTCGTTTTATTGAAGGGAATTCGCTAATGCCTGAAGGCTCACCTGGCGTTCTCCCATAGCAAGGCAGCACTGAAAAAAAATGTCATGTGAACCGAACACTCGGTGTTCCATATCGTCCCAAATTTCGGTTGGTCAAACTGAACTTTCAGTTCGTGTAACCAAACGTTCGGCATATTATGGCCACACTTTGTTTGTCGGTTCGCTTGACCGCAAAAGTTACACGAGGTTACACGAACCGAAAGTTGGGTTTGACAAACTGAAAATTCCGCTTGACGAACCGAATCAGCTGGGATGATATGGAACAACAAACTATGGTAAATACGACCGAACTTTTTTTCCAGTGCGTAGTATAGTTGAAAAATTAATATTTAAAAAAATAGGGAAAAACATACAGGCATCTTCAAATGTGATCATCAGCGGGGGAAAAAGCCCTTGGTCCATAAAGAAAAATTCTACAGGAAATCAATGTGGTCGAGTCAGGATGAAAAATGGACACGTGACTTTTTTAAAGTTAAACCCAAAAGAGGCGAACAGTTTGATTTCAGTTTGCCCTTCTGATTTGTTGTAACTAGAGTTGCGCCAAGCAGCATTCCTCCGAGAAGGAATATCGTGCTTTAATGAACTTTTTCTCACTACCATGAATATTTCATCAGGACACTGACTTATAACGCGCTTTGGCAAAATCTTAAAAACTCAGTCTGCTTTGATTGTTTGTTCTTTTGTTCTATTCTGAGAAAAAAGTGTAAATAACTTTTTAGTCCACCAGTTTGAATGCAAACGTGGTGATTGAAAATTTAGATCATTAAAAAAAACTACTAGACTTTCCCACGAAACTGCAGACGGCAAAATTTTAATTTGCTGAAGTTCCAACTTGGTAGGATCTCCCCTATATCCGTAATATTCCTTGAATATTCACATATTCATGTTTCTGTTGAAATTGATAGTTACTTTTTTAGTTTTTTGGCACTGAGGTCGCTTTTTCCTTACTGATGACCACATATACGCTTGGAATACCTAATACTGATTCATCTTTTATTAATGAAAGTATTAGTTTGATAGATAAAACTATAATTTTAATTTCTTAAGAATTATTACGTTAACATCAGACATGTGCGTGTGTCATCATCACCGGTATTGTAGCTGTAGGGAGGTAGTGATATTTCGTGTAAACTGTTCAGGTGGTAATAGTGCACATAGATTTTTCCAAGAAAGTGCTGTGAATTGGATTTCCACATTGAATAGCGGTGTTGAGTGCTACGTGCGAGACACCGCATCATTTTTTAAGCAATGAGGTCCCATGTACTTGTTCAGTCTAAAACCTGTCTTTTTACATGACATTTTACACCCATGGTAATGGATACTTCAATTATACTTCACATACTGAATACTTCAAAAGTCATGCTAGAATCGGTATAACCAATCGATTGCTAGGTGTAAAAAATTAGTATCTACCGCAACTTTTCAAAATATCCGATTATTTCATATCTTCTCAAAGTTGAAAGGAAACTAATCAAAAGGCCCATTTTTATTTTTGCCTGAATATAAGAAAAGGAAAGGATGAAATCCACGACAATTTACAGAGTGACTTTTGGTCCGTTTTCTCTAAAAAAAACATAAAATATGATCAGACGTTTGCAACATGATAATCGGACAAACATCTTTCCCATTTTGAGCCATCAAAATGTAAAATAATCGAGTAAATTTTAAAAGGAACCATTAGATAGGTTTTCTTCTAGAAAATGAAGTATAAGCGGAAATTTGCAACGTGGCGGTTGAGGGTATGCATTTTCCGCCTTGAGCTTTCAAAATGTAACATATTTCGGTATAAATGTCAAAAGAAACGGTTGGTTAGTTTTCTCAAAAGAAAATAGAACATTATCGTACATTTTCAGCGTGGCATGTTGGCGTACGCATTTTTTTATTCACGCTATCGGAATGAAACCTATAGCCGAGTCAATGCCTCGCATAGTAAATGTAACCTTGGAGGAATCAACGCGCCGCCTCATAGTAAATGTAACCTTGAACTTGGATGAATGAATGAACTGCATACTCCACGCGCTGCTACACGTGTTCATTGGCATCGGGTATCTCATTCTTTTTATCTCTCTTCGTTTTTAGTGAATACATAATCCAACCATGGCTCAGTGTGATCAATTAGTTTTCGCTTACAACAGTCAATTGAGAAAATATCGACAGATTTAAATCTGTAATGCGCGCGATGACAAAATTTTGATTCACGTTCAACGCAAAAGATTTTTGGTTCAGATTACCGAAATTTTGAAACAATTGGTTGATTCATCATAAACTGAGGATTGCAAGATGAGTAGAGACCCTTTGTCCAGTGGCGTGACGAGCTTTGCGATACATCGATTGATCTGTCATTTAAATTAATGGAAAAAGATCGGTAAACAAGTAATCCTCAAAGAACACCTTAATGATCGATTCTCTACCGCAGTTTCACTTGGGGAAATATCGATAATCGATTATTAATGCCTCGCCACTGCCTCGCATTAATGGGTAAAGAACATCCCTTGGAGACTTGAACGCTCGGGAAAGAAAAACAACTAATCGCGTACCCGGATCTTGGACCCGACTATTTCTCGAATCCCGGATTAGTCAATTGCGCTTTTCACAAAAATACGTTTTGATGGTTACCTACAGCCTAAATTTTTTCAAAAGAACATCGAGGGAGCTGCGTTTTCCGACCGCTTTGCGGCCCGCCAGGCGCGCTTTGCGCCTCTGATAACGGCTCAGCTGTCATTTTTGTTAAGAATTTTGAAATGCGGTATCTATGGCTGAAATTATTGGTCACTAAAACCGAAAAATGTTGTATCTAAAATGCACTGTAATTCAGTATCTGTACATTTGAACTTTTTTTCACTGAGGGTCCGCTCTGCCAAGAGAGCAGTGTACGGGTAAAAATGAGGTCTTGAGAATATAGACCTCATGACGATGGAATGAAAAATAACATGGAATATAAATGTTCCATTCTTTATGAAATTCTTAGCTTTCATCCGAGAGACTATTATGATATTTTTCAAATTATTACAAATTGACGAATTTTATCTTCGATAATATAAAAAATACCTACCTCATTTTATATTAGGCAAGCAGTACCGTATGTTGATGGTGAAAGTCGAAGAATGCGTATGATCACTGATCTGTTATACGCTATAATGTAAAGTCTCAGCTCATGTTTTCATAAGAAATTTATGAGCAATTGTAGGTATTGGAATTCTTTTTGCACTCTCCGCACCCATTGAAAATGAGCATAGAAAAATTCGCGGGGATTTTCTGCATGATTTCCTTATATAAGTTAAATAGACTCGGAGATTTCGCAATTTTTTAAGGGAAATACGCATTTTTTCGACTTCAGCTTTAGGAATGTGGTTTCTTCTGCATGCTTACGTGGTTTCATTTTCAACCCTTAAAAAACACACAAAAACGGCGGAAAAGGTACCATTTTACTCGCAATTGCAGTAACTAGAGCTCTTTTGCGGAATAGTGTGGACTTACCACTGATTTTTCCAAACGAAAAGAGAGTAAAGCCAGATGAATTTGCTAAAATATACGTTTTTACTGGAAAATACTGATTCAAGCTGTCACACGTGCAGCGATTAATTTTCTGACGTTTCAATTTATCTTTTTTTTCAATTTACATTTCAGAGTTGAAAAAAATAATTGGAATATCGGATTATCAAACAACTGCCCACATTAGCCTTAATGTATTGAAGGACTTAGTGAGTAGACTGTGGAATTATCCGAAAGCAGGGATCCCTACAACTAATTTTGATCCCAATTCCTCAACAAATGAATCGGGATAAAATCACGGCATTTAAACAACTTGCTGACACCTCAACAACACACGATACGTGTTTCATTGATCAAATAGATAAATGACTTAAACAAGCATTGAAGGAGATGAATTTGGTAAATTTGCCATCGTACGTTAAAATTCAGTTTGTAACTAAAAACCTAACGATCCTCGGGAGATTCTGCGTGAACTGCCGCAACCTGAGTGCAATCCGGATGGGAATATTTTCCTGAGGGCTTGATTCCCTGATCAATTTTACTCAAAGCGATTTCTCACGATGTTTCTTATCATTTTACCGTAGTAAATCAAACAGTGAATGAGAAGCGGCTTGTGAGGAAAAGGGAAGACTGAAAAAATCTTGCATGCACGCATAAAATTAAACAAACAGTTGTCCTATTTTGGAATATGCTTTCACCAATTAATCCTAGACTTTTAAGGGGAGACTTAAAGCGAGGTCTTAGCTGCTCAAAACGTGGCTCAATCGGCAGGACTCGCCGGGATTCCTACATATTAAATTAAAGTGATGATAAGATCGAATTTTATGAGTGGCATGCCATTTCAGCCATAATAAAAGAACTGGCTTTATCCTGTCTGTGCACTTGCACGGTAATTTAAGTTACTTTCCCTTGCTTTTTAAAGACTCTCGGTTTTCCATCCTTTACCGAGTTTCAACTGGCGTATAATTGGTCAAAGATTACATTTTAAGGAAAGAAAGGGGTGCCAATTATGTGTCTCCCATGTTGAAAATATTGAACTGAGATGATCGTATACATTGCATGATGATATTCAGTTTGACCTGTCC